CCTGTAGTCCCAGCTACTCGGGAGGCTGAGGCAGGAGAGTCACTTGAACCGGGGAGGCGGAGGTTGCAGTGAGCCAAGATCTTGCCACTGCACTCAGAGTGCCTGGCGACAGAGCAAGATTCGTCTCAAAAAAAAAAAAAAAAAAAATTCAGAGCATTAGTCTTTTTTTACACAAGTAAGTGTAGCTATATTATTCTTAATGAGTGCTATATACCATAACTTAGTCTACCTTCTTCTGCCTTGTATTTTTTTCATACAATAAAATGCACAGATCTTAGGTATTCAATTTGAAGAGTTTTTACAATTCTATACACCTGCCTTAACCATCTGAAACAAGGTACGGTTATCTGTCAGTATCTGCCAGGGACTGGTTTCAGGACCCTCCATAAATCACCAAATCAGCAGACACCCAAGTCCCTTAAATAAAATGGTGGGCTGGGCACCGTGGCTCACGCCTGTAATCCCAGCACTTTGAAAGGTCGAGTTGGGTAGATCAGTTGAGGTCAGGAGTTCAAGACCAGCCTGGCCAACATGGCAAAACCCCTGTCTCTACTGAAAATACAAAAATTAGCCAGGTGTGGTGGCAGATGCCTATAATCCCACCTACTCAGGAGACCAAGGCAGGAAAGTTGGTTGAACCCAGGAGCCAGAGGTTGCAATGAGCTGAGACCCCGCCACTGCACTCCAGCCTAGGCGACAGAACAAGACTCCATCTCAAAAAAAAAAAAATAATGGTGTAGTATCTGCATATAACCTATGCCCATCCTCCCATATAGCTTAAATTTTCTCTAGATTACACAATGTATGGTCTATGTAAATAATTGTTATACTGTTTGGGGAGTTTGGGGGGTCTTTTTTTTTTTTTAAATAAAAGATGGGATTTCACCATGTTAGTCAGGCTGATCTTGAACTTCCAACCTCAAGTGGTCCTCCTGCCCGCCTTGGCCTCTAAAGTGCTTGGATTACAGACATGAGCCACCACGCCCGGCCGGGTCTTTTTTTTTTCGAGACAGAGTCTCGCCCTGCCACCCAGGCTGGAGTGCAGTGGCACAATCTCAGCTCACTTCAAACTTCACCTCCAGAGTTCAAGCAATTTTCCTGCCTCAGCCTCCTGAGTAGCTGAGATTACAGGTGCGTGCCACCAGGCCCAGCTAATTTTTTGTAGTTTTAGTAGAAACTGGGTTTCACCATATTAGCCCAGCTCGTCTTGATCTCCTGACCTTATGATCCACCCGCCTCTGCCTCCCAAAGTGCCGGGGTTATAGGCCTGAGCCACTGTGCTTGGCCTATACTGTATTTTTTAAGGAATAATGTCAAGGAAGAGAAGTCTGTACATATTCAGTACACAGTTCTCTTTTTTCCCCTAGTATTTTCAGAGTTTGGTTGAATCTACCGATGCAGAACCCACAATACAGTGGGCCAACTATCTGTCAAATTGCTGTCACCCGAGAAAATTCTCTTTATACTCCTTTTTAGTAGACTCCTCACTCCTATGACCATCACCTCCGTTTCTTAATACATGGTTTGAATGTTCTTGGAGTTCCTGTGAGTGAAATCACATAGAATGTACCTGGCTTTGCTTAGGTTAATGTTTTGTTTTTTGTTTTTGAGATAGCGTCTCATGCCATCACCAGACTGGAGTACGGTGGCATGATCACGGCTCTCTACAGCCTTGTCTGCCCCCACCGCCCCTGCTCAGGTGATCCTCCCACTTCAGCCTCCCTAACAGCTGGTACGACAGACGTGCACCATCATGCCTGGTGAATTTTTTGTTGAGACAGGGTTTCACCATGTTGCCCAGGCTGATCTCTAACCCCTGGGTTCAAGTGATCCACCCACCTTGGCCTCCCAAAGTGCTGGGATTACAGGCATGAGCCACCAGGCCCAGATGAATGGCCCAACATTCATCCATGTTGTATTGATCAAAGTTCATTCTTTTTTATTGCTGTAGTTTTCCATTGTGTCAATATACAATTTGTTTATCTTCTCTTAATGAATATTTGGTTTGTTTCACATTTGGAGCCATTACATATAAGGCTGCTATAAACATCTGTGACTAAGTCTTTATGTGAACTGTTGTTTGAATTTCTTTTCTGGGACTACCTAGGTGTAGAAGCGCTGAATTGGAGAGTATATGTGTGGTTAATGTTGTAAGAAATTGTCAGTTTTCCAAAATGATTGTATGATTTCACAAGCTTGTTAGCAATGAGTAAAGAGTTTCAGTTGGTCCATATCCTCTCCAACCTTGGATGTTGTCAGTCTTTTATTTTAACCATTCTGGTAGGTGTGAAATGGAATGTTTCTGTGGTTTTACTTTGCATTTCCCTTTGACTAAAGATGTTGCCATAATAAGCAACGTTTTATATGCTTATTTTCTGTTCATATCTTCTTTTTTTTTTTTTTTT